GGCTCCAGCGAGTAGACAAGTGTTACCATCAACAGAGGAGACGGATACTGTATGACCTCAGGGCGGATGTAACCAAGCGCTGTGGTAGCGTTCTAGCGAAAACTAGCGTGGTTTTACCTCACACCCATGGTCTCACAGTGTGCCGGCAGTCGCCGCGCAGTGTCGCTCACACAAGCCGCAGCACAAGTGACTGAGGGCCAGTGAGGGCGAGCCCATCGCTGTGACAGCTGTGGCAGCCGCACAATAGGCTGTGCCAACTGCGCAGAGCGTGTGAGCAGCAGAGGAGCTTCACTCCAGGAGACAGGCGCAAAGAGCTGCATGCCACCGAAGGCGCTGTCGAGGTTCGCCGAGCGTGGCGCAGGTTGGAGGACACCGTCACCGACGAGCGCGTTGGACCTTTCACTCCGGACAAAGACAGTGGCACGCACACGAGCTGCGGCCGTGCCACTGTCATAGCGGCGAGGCGCGGGACCGTCTGTGGCTAGGTGGTCGCGTCCTCCCCCCGAGACCCCACCCCGGGACGCGCCGGCTGCGGGTGAGGCCCCACCCCCGGGGCAGTGAGGGGCAGGGGCGGGGCGGAGCTCCTCAGAGTGAGGCGCCCCGGGTGCCCCCCCACCCCCCCCACCCCGCCCCCCGGGCACCCGACCCGCCCTCAGCTCTCAGCTCCCCACCACGCAAGGACCAAGGTGCAGCGGACCGACCTGGTGGGCAAGCGGATGATGAAGACCTTTGGCGGCCATGGCACCTTCGTCGGAGATATCGTCTCTTACGACCCGGAGACGGGGTGTTACCAGCAGGTCACCTATGAGGACGGCGACAAGGAGGGCCTCTCGCGAGCCTCTGTCCAGGCTGGCGTGCGGCGATTCCAGGCCCAGGCAAAGTGATGCGATCCGTCTCGCCGAGGCGCGCTTTTAGATGTTAGAGACTTTGTGCGTTTGGAGCAGTGCGGACTGTCTGTGCAGGAGCAGAGTGCTGGGGTCTCACCCGTTTAGTTGATTTGTAGTATTGTTCTGTGTGAGCGGTGGTGCCGCACAGGCCGCTCTCCCTCGCCTCGGCGGTGTGCGGGTGGTGCCGCGGCGTGGCGCGGGCCGGGGGCGCGCGGTAGGCGTACGGACGGGGCCGCGTGCGCGTGGCCCGCCCGTGGTGCCCCTGGCTGGGTCGCGCATCGCGAGTGAGGCCCCGGGGTGGGGCAGGTGAGGGAGGGGGCGGGGATGGCCGGGCCCCGGTGAGCCCCGGGTGAGGCCCGACCCCCCCCCGTCCCGGGGCTACTGTGATCCGCACATCACGGTCCTTCCCCCGTAATGGCTAATGCGTAAAGGTAAACTTCTCCACACACACACATGAAGTCATGAAGGTGGTGGGGCAAGGGGGGGCAACCCTCGCGCGTCTCTCCACGTCTAAAAAACGAGACAGGTCACAGGAGCCCCACGGCATTATCCATTAAAAGAAAAAGTGCGCAAAGCCCACAGTGCGCGCGTACGGTGGGTGAGCGCGGTGAGCGGTCGTGTGTGTGGTGTGTCTGTGTGTGTGTGTGTGATGTGACCGCCGAGGACTCACGTGACCGGCTTACAAGGGCGTGGCGGACTACTGACCGCCGTCGCCCGCTCGGTGCGCCTTCAACAGGCTTCAACAGGAACCGCCATATCTTTCAAGCATTTCGGGTGACATGGCTGGCGGCGGGTGGCAAGGCAGCGGCTC